CATAGAGGAAGTTTAGTAGATGTGTTTTTCCAGTGAATCACAGTGTGCATGCAGTTTAAATACCAGGAGAATTTGAAGCCCTCAGCTGTAATGTTTCACATCAGCTGTTGTAAGAGGGTCCGCAACTTCTGTCAGTTGCAGGGTAAAACCCAGTATGCAGACCAAAGAGGTGACAAACTGTCATCAAGCAAACTGTGATATACATTACTTACCATATTTGTGGATAAGGTGGCTGAAGTAATCTATGTGAGCTGGAAATATTTTACAGTTACAGTGAAGCTTTAGAAAACGGATGTGAAACTTATTATGTTTGACCGTAGCAAAATTGCGATATCTCTAAAAAAAAGGTAAAAAATACTACTATGACTATAATGAAATGTGTTTTCTCTCTGCAGCGGTCAAATTCGGTCGTATGTCCAAGAAGCAGCGCGACAGTCTCTATGCCGAGGTGCAAAAACACCAAAAGTCCCAAGAGTGTGTGGGCTCCGGAGGCGGGGGCTCTACTGCTTTGTCCTTACCCAAGGAGGATGGCATCTGTGGCGGTAGCGGGGAGGACGGTGAAGAAGGTCTGAGCCGGTCCTACAGCACTGGGGGCTCCAGTTCCACCCTTAGTGACCTGGATGACATTGCGGCGCTGCCTGACCTGTTTGACCTGCCTCTGACCCCCGAGGAGGCCAGCGAGTACTGCAGCCTGGAGCTGCTCGGTGGAGGGACCAGCACTGGGAACACCTCCAACTCATCGTCCTCTTCTTCCTCTTCCTCATCCTTGTCCAATCAGAATTCCCCACAGCAGACGATGCTGGACGGGGCAGATAGCAACGGGATCCAGCTCCTGCATACACACTCTCACACACATCTGCTGGGACACACACATGCACTGCTGGACCATCTGCCTGATGACTGCTCTATAACAGACCTCGGTGAGTACTGACAAGGATGAATAACAGATAAATTCTTCTTTTATTGTCACAGAATGTACTTAAAAACTCTCAAATAGTTGTTGAGGCTTTTATGTACTTAAATAAAGAGCTTAAGGCAGGATATTATAAGAGACAGGCCTTTATTTTTAAGGGGACCTTTTTATATGTTGTCTATTGCTCACGTTTTTCAGAATAATTTTCCTGCTGCATGATCTTAATGAAAAACCAATACTACTTTCATCTGTTTCACATTAAATCTCCATTCCTCAGTTCATTATTCCTTTTCCTTGAGAAACATTTGCCATAAGTGCTGACTTTTAGTAACAACAGTTTACATTAAGAAAGCAAGCACTCAGTGTGACTAAGTATTTCAGCATGAGTGTGTTGTACTGTTGGATACAATGCCATAAAAATTTAGCACAGCACTGTTGTGGTCATTTTCCCCGTGGCCGCCATCTGCTTTTATTTCATGTGCAGTACTGCCCTGGAAATGAACAAAAAGGGTTGAATAATGATAAAATAAAAGCAAATTATATAAGAGCATATATAATTTAAAAAGCAAAATTGATTAAATTCATTCAATGAAAAAACAAAGATGAAGCACAGGGACAAGGGCCAGAAGGATACATGGTAGATAGAGCAGGAAAACAGGATAAAATTGACACAAGGAGACAAATACAAGATTGAATGGGAAAAACAAGCATTATAAAAACAAGTTTGAAAGCAGGGACAGATAAAGGGATGATGGAGTAGTGGTGTAGTGGTATTTATAGAAGTAAGGAAGCAAAGAAATGTTTTAGAGAAGTGTCTCTACAGAGGAAGAATATATTTGTATTTTCTTTTACACCTTTATGGTTGCTGGCAACCGTAAACTGCAATGAGGCTCTGGGGAGTTTTAAAGGAAGCAATGAGTAAATATTGTGACTAGTGGATAATAGGAGGGAGGTGGCAAAGCTGCAGATATACAATAAGATGAGTAAATGAGCCAGAGTTATTAATCAAGGTCACCCTGCCATGAACCTGTGGGTACGAGAAACGAGACTACTGTTACACTCTCTGCTACCACCACAAACCACATAAGTGGTTACATGATCATGCTTTTTTTGTTTTCACAGAGCGCATCACTCAGAGTATTGTTAAGTCTCACTTAGAGACGTGTCAGTACAGCGCTGAAGACATGAAGAGATTCACCTGGGTACAATACACACCTGAGGAAACACGTGCTTTTCAAAACAAGGTACATAATGCACTTTTTAAACCCTGTATGTGTAAAGTCTTGTGTTGTTGCATGCTGTTTATATACTGTATATGACATTGAAATGTACCAATACTGGATCAGAATTACAGCTCAGTCTGACAATATCAGATATAAATATATTTAAAAAAACTTACTTTGCTATTTGCTATTACATTACTATTACTTTTCGATGAATAGGCAGGTTAGATTTCCAAAATTGTAACTGTAATTTCCACTAAAAAATCTGATGTTGGACAACACTACTATACTGAAGTGATGGACTTGTAACACTCATATCTCTTTTTTTTGTTTCCCTTTTTCAGTCAGCTGAGTGGATGTGGCAGCAGTGTGCACACCACATCACCAATGCCATTCAGTATGTGGTTGAGTTTGCCAAACGCATTGCTGGCTTCATGGACCTTTGCCAGAATGATCAGATTATATTGCTGAAAGCAGGTCAGTGCACAGTCCTAATATGCTGACATTTTCCAATTCTTAATGCAGAAAGTTCATTCTTCAAAGTAAACAGAGTCTGAAACTTGCTAACTTTAGTTTCTTCCTGTTTTTTTTTGTCTCCAACCCTCTGCCTTTGCCTTATTTGCTGTTTTCTGTTTATTTGTTTGAATAAATTACACACACCTGGTTTGAACATGGGGGAGAAAAATATAATTCTGAAAACAAACATTTTAATTACTTTCTTTATCTGTTCAACACACATATATATATATATATATATATATAAATATAAATCTCTGACATAAAATGCATATATTTGACAATGCGTTTTACTCTCTTTTGAACTTTGGAAAATCTTTGTGGATATTCATGTTATCCTGTTGATTTTTAAACTGTTCAAAAATGTAATATATGCTGTGCGCCAATCTGGGTCAAAATCATTTACATTTTGTTGTGTTGTTTTGTGCATGTTGGAGTATCTTGGCCCCTCTCTGCCCCACCCTTCCCCCTTCCTCTTCTTTCTCCATCTCTCCATTTCTTTGCCTCTATCTGTGGCTATCCTTTCAGGCTGTCTGGAAGTCCTGCTGATACGCATGTGCCGAGCTTTCAACGTCAACAACAGCAGCATTTTCTTCAATGGAAAGTTCGCCCCAGCACAGTTCTTCAAAGCACTTGGTAAGGATCTGATAGGAATACAGTTGCGTAAGCTCTAAAGCATTGATATAATTGATGGGGTCACACATGAAAGCTCTTTATGTAAGTTATAAAGCCCCTTTTCACACGCACGGTGCAGTAATAACCTTTCATGCCTAACAGAATGCCTCTGCTCCTACTGTTCTGAATCCATTATTGACAGCTTACAGAGATGCTTCTGTATTGACTAATTCATTATATTTTAAATGACCTGACTGTGGTAATTGCTCTCAAGATGACTCTATAAGACTGCAATTTCAAATTCAATCTTGTCAACAACACTTCCTTAAAGCCAGAACTGTCTTTGAAGAGAAGTAATTAAACTGCTGCTGGATGCTGCTTTCCACTTTCTGAAGCACTTTCTTGCCTCTTTAGCACCACCAGAACTGTGTAACAGTGCAACCCTAATGGAAAATGTGAAGACAAACACCATTAAACACAGCAGTAAACAGCGTGACAAGCTCATTTAACAGAAAATCACCCAAGTTGTGTAATTTAAAAAGATATATTATGTCGGTCAATACAGCTGTATTTCTCTGTAAGCTGTTTTAATTGATTTTTGAACAATTGGATCCTATGACAGTAATTTAACTAGAGCATTTTCACTATAACAATGGCCAGAGTTTCCTTATCTTCAGTTGTCGGATTTAGCAGGACTATTAAGTCTTAAAACTATTATTTTTTTTAACAATATATTTATTGGTTTCCTGTGTTTATACAGGTTGTGACGACCTGGTCAGTGCAGTGTTTGACTTGGGAAAAGGACTCTGCCGTCTCCAGCTGTCTGACGAAGAGATGGCTTTGTTTAGCGCTGCCGTCCTTCTATCTCCTGGTGACTATTTTTTTCCCTCTTTCTCTTTCTTGCTCACACATACATACACAAACACATAGTAGTCTATTCAGTGCTGTTCTGTCCTTGATAAAGAAGGCCAAACTGCTGTTCAAGAGATTTTCAACACACACATTGATTTCAATATATTTTTTTGTTGTAGATGTCTCACACATGAACCTTTTCAGTTTATAAATGCTGATTATTCAGTTATTTTCTGAAGATTTTTCCCTATATGTTTAAAAAAATAATGTGAGACATCTAATATATTTCCATTTGATTGAATTATGCAGCAATAAAATAAAAATATGGAATGTGATTTTAACAACCTTAAAGCAACTTAAGGGGAGACAACTGTATTTTAAGGGTTCATTTATTGTCTTTCCTGTAGATCGACCCTGGCTAACAGAAGGCCAAAAGGTTCAGAAACTCCAGGAGAAGGTCTACCTGGCTCTTCAGCACAGTCTACACAAGAGTGGTGCTTCTGACGAGAAACTGGACAAGGTAATGACAGGCAGTCACAACTCTTCTTAGAAAAATGTACTCGCATAAAGACAAACATGCACCAACTTACCTTTCTATACCTTCTGTCCCTGCAGATGGTGTCCAAGCTGCCCGTAATGAAGTCTATCTGTAACCTCCACATCGACAAACTCGAGTTTTTCCGTTTGGTCCACCCAGAGACCGCCTACAGTTTCCCACCACTATACCGGGAAGTTTTTGGCAGCGAGATGTCTCTTCCAGACTCCACCGACAGCTAGACAGACAGATAGACAAAGGAGAGCGATGGACAGAGTGTATTAAGAGGTAGGGAAGCAAAAGGAGAGACAGAGTAGGTTAGAGATGTTGAAGCTCAACAACCAGCAGTTAACGAGACAATCCAGGACTTTAAATACTCCGTCTCCCATGATCCCAAAGTAGTCCTCCACTTTCCCAGCAGGCCAAAGCACCTTACACTACAGACCACACATGCTCATGGTCCTTTGCATATTGTAGCATTAACAACAAGCGAATGGGCGTCGTAAGAATAACACAGCAGCCCACCAAGCACTAAAGCTCAGAGCTCTAACGCTTGTTGAACATCAGATCCACTGTGGATCACCCAACCAGTTATGAATGTACCTCATCGATAAGCACCAGTGCACAAGTCAGAACCTAACAGTGAATGTACAGCCCTGCCACTCTCAGACAGAGTTTTACACATAGTATTAGAATGAAGTCGTGTTGATCAACGGGTCTCACTATTAATACAGCTCTCGGTCAATATTTCTGTCTATATTAATACATCTCAGTATGGTACGCATGCGTATTCATACAGACAATATCTTTGTACTGACCATCACTTAGGGACCAAGATCATGAGTCATTTCCTCTAATATAAAAAGAAACACACAAATACGATATGACTCACAGCTTTAGGCTGACCTCCTTAATCAGCTGAGAATCAGTTTCACACACATTTAGACAGTGTTCGGTGCTGCCTCTTTGTAGGCTCTTGTAATGCAATGAAAAACCTCAGTCCCACACACCCCTTTCCTTGTAAATGCCACTTAGAGACAGGACAAGATGAAATTATCTTTAATTTATATACACATTTATAAACAAATATTTTAAATAAGAATGTAAATAGATGACTATATAAGTATATGGAGAGAGTGTGTGAGAGAAAGGGAGAGAAAAGTGGATAGTAAGATGTGGAGAGGGAGAAAAACAAGATGGATACTTTGATGAAAGCTGATATTTGGACTCAGATCTTTTTCTGGACTATTTCCTCTCTTGACAGTACTCTCAGGTTTCCATGGCAACAACTCCCTCTTGCCCCGATGGCTAACTAACCCAGCTGGGTGAGGTGCGGTCATCACGCAAGCGATGGGGTGGACACTTGTTGCCTGTGCGACACAGCAGGGGAGGCAGGGTAACCAAACAAAGGCGAAATGACATTGCCTTTGTGTTGCATTTAAACTGAAAGCTTTCGGCCTGCGCTGTTGCTGCACCCCCTCCCCAACCCTCTTCCCCCACGCCCCAGGCCTCCTGCCTAAAGAGACAAGAGGACACGAAGGAGAAGAGAAATCAAGGCAAAAGATGACTTCATGAACTGTATAATAAAAGGGGACACAGAGGGTCTCCCCACCTGTTTCTAACCAGCAGTCAGTACAGTAGGTGTGGTATAATTGTCTTTTACTCATAATGTTTCAGTTGACCAGAAAACAACGAGGATCCATAATATGTATCATAAACCCTCCTTGCTGGTTGGAGCAACTGTATTATTTTGTACATTTGCTGTTCCTCTCTCCTTTAGTCCCACACCCAACACTCGTCCGAATACCAAGCACTTATACTTTCCTCTTTCTCACTGGACACTAGTCTTAAGGCTAGACAGAGCTACCAGCTGCCCCCCTGAGTTGGGCCTCAATGCCAGTAAAAATTAATAGTTTTCAATCAATCTGTTTTGTTTTTGTTTTTTTAATTACCATATCTGTCACACAAAGTCACCCATAACTGTTTACATTTTTCATGTACTTAAATAACATGCTTTCTAAAGGATGTTATAGCATTGAGAGGATGATGATAATGTCTTACTCGGGGTGCTGTGAAGTTTTTGAGCAGAGTCCGAGGACCTGCTGCCTACCACTCAGGGAGCTAGCTGTGATCTCTTGTCCCTTTATTACCAGTGTCGTCTTTTAGCCTTGTGCTCCTCACACCTTTGCACCTAAGATGAGACCCATAACCATAATCACTGTGGACGTAAGTTCTATTTTTGTGAATGTTACTCACAAAGTGTCAAAGCCCTTTCCCGTTTGTCCTAATATTGTAACATTAAATTTTACAGAGACATAGGAATTTAAAAAAAATAAATCAGTTAGAGTTAAAGATGAATTTCATTATTGGGGTTTAATGTTTCTTTTGCTGTGATTTTCATTTATTTGTCAGTCTATCCACCTTTTTCTTTACATGTCTCCACTTTTGTCTTGTAAAGTCAGTGATCTATTTTTTTTAATTGAAGAAAGATTAGGTAAAGTACAAACAAAAAAGAATAGTTTGTCTCCCTTCTCTTTCCCTGTATGACAAAATGTACAAGAGGTATATTACTAGTCCAAGAGTAACTGAGTCACACAGCGCGATATATATTGTTGTCCAATGGGATACATTATATGTGGTTTTAAGAATGTAATAAATGGTTTCTTTTTCTTTTGAAATGTTTCATTGAGTCTTATTTAAACTTGAATGTGGCTCTCATGTTGATGCATAATGCATAATGCATAATCTGATGTTACAATCCTGCAAGTGTAAGGGCTGGCCTACTGACTAGCATTTGTATTGTGTGCATACACTGTATTCCTTTCATGCCATTAACTGCAACAAATAGTCCAAATAATAATAATAATAATAATAATAATAATAATAATAATGGCAACAAGCCACAGTTTCATCAAAATGTTGATTGCTATTTTTTCTTCTAAAGTTGAGCAGACAAGTTATTTCTTCACCTTAGAGTAGTTTGATAAATACTCTACTTAAAAGCTTTTTCTGTATGGACTTTCAATCGCCGCTCCAAGTCTTCTTCGGGGGATGAAGTTTGCTCGGACTTAGGACCTTGGGTTAAGATTTCTTTGCCATTTTTTGGGCATTTTATATCTATTTTATGAACCAACAGATCAATAACTCATTAAGAAAACAGGCAAACTAATTAATGATGAAATAAAGTGCATAAAAAGAGAAGCAAATATTATTTTGCCATTGGTTTACTATAAACCAAAAGCAGTAATACACAGTAATGTTTTTTTTTTGGGGGGGGGAGGGGGTTAATGGATGTCTGTGTCAGCTAAAGTCAAAGTCAGGTCTTTATTTATTGTTTTGACAATTTGCTGAGAAAGAGGGATGTCAGGGTGCATGATTTGTGTGTGTGTGTGTGTGTGTGTGCGTGTGTTGTGTGTGTGTGTGTGTGTTGTGTTGTGTTGTGTCTGCCCACTTTTCATCCTACCCAAAGGAGCCTCCCACATGAAGCTGAAGCCAGGAAATTGTGGTTGCCTAGTTTCACATCTACGGTGCAAAGTTTGAAGACGTGTGCGGCCGCTGTCTGCGCTCAAGCAACGCAAACTATTTGAAAACACCTTCGAGGTCCAGGTGGCAAAACAGACGGTGCAAGATGTCCGTCGCGGGATTTAAGAAGCAATTTTACAAAGCGAGTCAGGTAAACGGAATACTTTTCTTACTTTTCTTCTTTCTGTTTTTTTTTTAAACATTAGCCAGTAGCTTAGCTAGCTTACTGAGCTAGCACAAGTGTTACTTTTATTACGCTAACTGCATGCTAGCTGGCTAACCAAAGTGGGGGGAAACACAAACACTCGTTCTTGGTTAAAGACTAGTTTTGTTATATGAAACGTTTTAAGTTGTTGAAAAGTATACGACAAGCTTTATTGCTGTTAAACTCCTCCACTAATGTCAGCTGTGTTGTAGCGCACAGGTAACGTCAAATGAAGCTAACGCTAATCTAAAGAGTTGAGAAGTTAACGTTAGCAGCGTTACTTATAACAAACTAAAGTTAAACTAACGTTAAACTGACGTTAACCTAAAGTTAAACTGACGTTAACCTAAAGTTAAACTGACGTTAAACTGACGTTAACCTGACGTTAAACTGACGTTGGTTTCTATGGTAGTTAACGGCAGTTAATCGCCCTAATGTTGTGCATTGAAGCACTTCGGCTTCCTTATTTTAATTAGTTAGACAAGTTTTTGTCCAACTAGCTAATTTACGTAGATTGTAACACTATCCTTAAAATGTCCACTGAACTAACGTTAAAGTACAATAATAACCTGATGGTCGAAGTTGATCACAGAAACAGAAGTTGTATATTAAAATGATGAGTCTCTATTGTTTGGAGATACTGTAAGTTATATGATGGTTGGCGCTTGGTTTACTCGTGTTTTGTTGTAATGTTAAACAACAGGTATATTCGTCACTCGTGCTAAAGTAATGTTTGTTATCTCTGTCTCTTGGATTACACAATATCTCTAATTGGCCAGTGTGTTGTAGTGATACCATAAGATCTTACAACACATGTTTACACGGTGATTCATACAAATGCTGTCATCTCTCAGCTTTAAGTGTCTGTCCAACTACAACTCACCTGTGAGCGTCTCTGGATAATATTAGTATTAGTTTCTATGTAAATTAATTTATTCCCACACATTTTGTGTTGTAAAATATTATAGAGAAGTCACCATCGGACGTCAGTGGTTTATCTCTAACATAAAGGATATGTAAGGTCCAACAGGCACTGAGATTAGTTAGTATCACATACACTATTAACACCCAGGCTCTTGTTTTTAACTTTGGATCAACCGTTTCCATTTCTGAACCTCTCATTTTCAAATAGAAGTCCAATTTTTCTTTGTACACTGTGACGGATAACTTCAGACCACTTAACGCACAAGTTAGCATTTACATGGATGTGGAAGTCAAATATTTGAACAAATGGAAGTGACTTGATGCCGTGTCAGTCAAATGTCTGACTGCCTGGCTGTGTACAGACGTTCACACAGTCCAAGTCTCCAGGTTTGTCCTGTGCTTCTGAAATTCCAATAGCACTCATCTCTCTTAGGAAAGAAAGAGTTGGCTGTTGTCAAAAATGAAACCCACCACCATAAACGTGAAACCTAACAAACCCTACAAAACCGGTGGCCTATGTTTTGATGACACCCGCCTTGTTACAGGTGCTTGCTCTGGCTTAACATGTTATATGTAAATGACGGCCCCTTGCTTAGTGGGTGTGTAGTGGAATCCTAGTTATGTGAATAATCTGCCCGGACCAGTGTAAGTAACCTAGTAGATCCAGATGTTTAGTCATTATACTGACATTACATTAATAATATCAAACCAGGGGTGAGTGCACAGAAATCTTTTATTCTTTTCTGAAAACCTTGAAGAAGATTTACTTTATTAATCCCTCATTTTTACACACATCGGCCCAACATACAGTCAGAGACAGCGACACAAAGCAGTGCCCTGGGAGCACTCAGGGGTTTGGTGCTTTGTTGAAGGGCATCTCCGCAGTGTATAGTACTCATAGTAGGGATTCGATCTCACCAGTTGGTATCGGCTATATTGAGCTTTATTTCCCCGATCTGATGTTTTGTTTTAAGTATGCTGTCATACAGCTGTTTGTACTCACGAAGCTTTCATCCACGGTACAGCATCAACAGCTCTCTCCGCTGCCTCTTTCCTCCACTTTGAGCTCTGTGTGAGAGTCCTTCGATCTTAGAACGAGCTGTTCTACCAAAGGAGCAGGTCTCGGTCCTCTTTCGAGACCACCACAGTTTCTACTACACACTTGGAAGAGAGTGGTATTCATTTGGTTAATCTGCAACTTCACGATTCTCAAAAACACGATTGATTTTTGTGTTTAAACCCGGGAACCACTAGCAGGGTTGTAAATGTAAACTGAGGACTATGATGTTGGATGTTACAGCAGCTGTGATAAATATGATCCCTCTGTTCTGGTTGCATAAAAAAGTAAACGTTTTTTGTACGATTTTATGCGTATGTACAAAGAACACGCCATCATTCTTCTCAATATCTCACCTCGCTTAAGTATCCCATTATATGGCATTATATTGAATCATCACAAGTATTGTGATATGTATCTCATTGCCAGATTCTCGCCAATACACAGGCCTACTGCTAAAGCCTAAACTATTGGGACGTACAGTGTAGCTGTTAACATATAAGTCCTACTGAACATCCTCTGTTAGCACAGGCCAACAAGTGTTGGATCATGCCATTCAGGCAATGAAAAGAAAGAAAGAAAACAGGCTGGTGGAGGAGGGTAATCAAGACAAGGTCCACGTCATACCGTCATAAAAATTCACTTGATTCAATCAATGATTGAACGATGGAGTAATTATCAGCTTAGCTGCTTAGCAAACGTGTATAGCTGACGTTATGCATATGGTGCTCATTAAAGTCCACTGGCTCTTTGCCTTCTAGTCCACATCGTGTCATTACTTTGCTTCTGTCATTGACCAACAACACCAACACTACATGCTCCTCTTCTCTAGGCAGCTAGACGACTCTTCACCAAATCTGAATCCGGTGTTGAATCTGCTTCTAAATCTGCATCTTTTTAAGCCATATTACTCCATTAGATTAGATTTAGATTTGAACAAATTTAAACAACCAAATGTATAAATAATTCAATGCTAAGTACTACTAAAACTGAGGTTTAAGTAGAAAGTTTACATACCATAGTCAGACCAGGATGGGTAGGTTTATTAGTCATGGAGGACAAAACGTGTGCTTGCAATTATGAAGCCAGATGGGGTGCTGAAAGTGTGTTTGTGTTTCACACATACCAGAACTTCGCATCTGGTACCAGAGATTCATTAATTGCAATTAAAATGGTGTCTATTAGACTTCATAATTAGGGAACATGTGGGGCTGAGTTGTATCTCATGAACCATTTGGCAATCAGTGCTTAGTGCTTTTTCAGAGTCACTGAGTGTTTCACACAAAATAACTTTGCCAGGACTATGTATTATATAAACTAGTGAGATTGATTGATCCATGGGGTCACAGAGTTTTCTATGCAGTGTGGGGCTGACAGCTGCACCGAGTTCAACCAAATGAGAAAACACACACACACAATGAGTCCCTGTTTGGCTTGCCAGACAACTGCGCAGGATTGTTGCTCTAGATGAGAAATGGAGAGTGTGTGTGCGATGTGTGAGTGAGGAAATGAACTAGTGAGCGAGAGCAAGATGAAGTGAGCATGTGTGTTTAGTAAAAGTATCCATAGATGTGGCTGTAGTGCAGGAAACAGCAATGTGTGTGCTGAACTGGTGGAAAAAAGAAAACCCCAGAGGCTCTCAGTAGAGAGGAAAGTCCAGTCCACTCCCTAATGCAGACTTGAAGAGCTTCCACCACTGACGGAAAACATGGGTAGGAATTTGAGAATTGTGTTAACCAAGCCTGGAAAAAAAGAAGATGGTGGAAGATGTTAAATATCCAATAAAGTTTGGAAACAGACAACAGTTTGGTTGTGAAGGTTCAAAGCCATTCAGCAACAGCTTCTTGAGCAAAGCTCTCATCCAATATCTGCTCCAGAAATTCTGTTCTGTAGTTGACCTCCCTGTCGAGATGCATTAGTGGAAGAAAATGATCCACAATATTATGAATAAAAATGTTTTCAATATACAGGACTCAGTCAATCTACTTTTTTTATGACCATGTGTATATAGTCATGGTAGTCAAGTTATCCATTAGAGACCATTGAGTGTGCCGACTTCAGCCGGCTTCATTGAGCCAGTTGCTCTGTGTTCACAGTTGGTGAGTGAGAAGGTTGGAGGTGCAGAAGGAACCAAACTGGATGAAGACTTCAAGGACCTCGAGAGGGTAACATACATACATTTTAAGAAAATATCCACGTTAAACATGTAGAATAAAGTGAAATCCCAAGTTTTCTTCTTCATTCACTTTAACACTCTCAAAGGCATGTGACTCAGCATGTGCACACATATATCAGTTACTGTCTCTCTCTAATCTATACCACCAGAGAGCAGATGTTACCAGCAGGGCAGTGGTGGAAGTCATCAATAAAACATCAGAGTACCTCCAGCCCAACCCAGCCACGAGAGCCAAACTTTCTATGCTCAACACAGTGTCCAAAATCCGTGGGCAGGTGAAGAGTCCGGGTTACCCCCAGCCTGAGGGCCTCCTGGGAGAATGCATGACCAAGTATGGACGGGACATGGGCGAGGACACCAACTTTGGTAAGATACTGGGTGGAAGAGATATGTATGTGTTTAAAAACCATGAAAGAAAGAAGACCATTGCCATAGTAGGGGGAGTGAGAGTGTGTTTGTTCAGAGGGTGTAAGTGAATCTACTTATACTTATTAATGTTTTAACATGCCTCACTAACAGGTCCCACACTCCCTAATTCTGGCATTTTGCATGTGTGTGTGCTGCAGGTGGGGCTCTAGTAGACATTGGGGAGTCGATGAAGAGGATGGCTGAGGTCAAGGACTCTCTGGATATTGATGTGAAGCAGAACTTTATTGACCCACTGCAGGCAGTCGCTGAGAAGGACATCAAAGACATTCAGGTAGAATCAGAGAGGTAGTATGCGTCTGCACGTACAAACCAGACATTGACTAATGAGCTCCTCAGTCTGTGTGTCAGCTGCAATAGTACAAAAAAAGTATTTTCAGTCAAGGTGCATAAGAGTGGAATTACATGCAAATGTTTAAATCACTGATATTTCTCAAAACTATCATGAACAAGTGAAAAGGCCTATTTGTACAATTAGGGCTGCACAATGAATCGAATCGCAATTGCCCCCAAAAGAAGATCAGTATCTGTAGCATGTATGCAGTGCTAACAAGCAGGTTGACGACTGAATTGGTGGCCAAAAGAAAGCTGTGACCTCTGTCATATGTCGATATTTTGAATTTAGGCTCAGCGACATTGAGCAAAGTAAAAATCATCGGACATTCAAAAATGTCTTATTTTAATGAGAATTTGCATTAGTATTTTTCATATTTATTGTTCCATCTATTTCATTTACTTGTACTATTGAGCAAAGCAAGTTTGCAAAAATTTGTAAACGTTTGCATCATTTGTTACCATTATATCGCAATATTGTTCACAATAATTCGCAATATGACTTTTTCTCCAAATCGTGCAGCCCTATGTACAATATAATTTCTGACACGCCATCCTCACAGTTCCAACTCATTTTTCCTCCTCAGCACCACCTTAAGAAACTGGAGGGCCGCCGCCTGGACTACGATTATAAAAAGAAACGTCAGGGTAAAATCCAAGAAGAAGAGATCAGGCAGTCGCTGGAGAAGTTCCACGAGTCCAAAGAGCTGGCTGAAAGCTCCATGCATAACCTGCTGGAAACAGATGTGAGTAGCATGTAGACTAAACTCCACTTTGCATTGTAGATGGTTCATTGAAACCTGCTGGACTTGTTTTGTTAATAAAAACGTGTCAGTTCTCAGTTTACTTCCCTTTCACTGACAACTGCTGATAAACTAGACATTGTGCTCAATGAGACTCATTAAAAGTATGTATGGCTGCAGCAAGAGGAGTTGAATTTGCATATTTTATAATGTAATGAATTAATTTTATGCCCTAGATAAACACCATTAGAGCTGTATAAAACATTGGCTACCTAAACTTATGCTATAATAAATATATATGCTTATAAATATATGCTGATAATATTCTGTCTCTGTTTCTACATGTGTTGCTCACAGCTTCTCAGCTAGAAAGCCATGTTACGTATTTAATGACAGTATGTATCAGGTGACAGCCCTTGTTCTTTTATTCCACAGTGACTTGCAGTAGTGTCAACTTGTCAAACCTGTTTTGTTTGGTATTTACTGTTTTTCACCTGCCATTATGAGATGTTTCAAAGCTGTTTGAGCAACGTTATTATGATGAACAACAACGTAATGAGATGGGAATGCAAACAGTTAACCAGTAAGGAGTGCTCTGAGGGGCCACTGTTGTTTGTGCGTTTGGTCTCGTTCTAAAATAGTTGTTTCTGTGTATGCGCATGTAGGTGGAGCAGGTGAGTCAGCTGTCTTCCTTTGTGGAGTCTTTGTTGCAGTACCACAGACAGGCCACGCAAGTCCTGGAGGAGCTTTCTGACAAACTGAGAGAAAGGTCAGCACTGTGACTATTTGTGGAAGATGGCATGCCTTTTGTATGTTGAGGCTGTGTCCTGTAGCTCATGACCAGGCATGATTCAGCAGTAACATATTTTCTTTCACCCATCTTATTGCAAGTGATGAATGTTGAGTAGCAGCTGATGCTGAGCACAAATATCTTACTTTTACTCATTCAGATAATCATCATTTGGTTTTGTACAGATCATTTTGAAATAATGAATTTTACTTTCGAATAAAAACGCAGTGAATTTGTCTTCCTTTTGACATACACAGTTTACATGAACCTGCCTGTTCTCTTTACTGATGCACCCCCTACTCTTGAGCTCAGAGGTGACATTTACTATTCTGATTGTGTGCAGGGTGAATGATGCTCAGTCTCGTCCAAGGCGTGAATACACACCCAAACCCAGACCAGTCTTTGACTATGGAGAGGTAGAAAACTCTAATGGAGGATACTCACCAGCTGCAGCGAGCCCCCCAGCTTACTCTGCCGGTAAACTTGACCTAATTGTATATTTTGTAAGGTGTGTGAATGTCTGAGTGCTTGTGTGTGCAAGGCCTACTCCCAAAAAAGGCATGCGTGCAAGTCAATCTCATTCTTAAGACTGATGTGTCTTTCCTTCTGCAACATTAACCAGCCCCAGCACAATATCCAGCTCCATCCTTCCAAAGGGCCTCCTTCAAGAGCAGACCGCGTGAGTGAGACAAACGGAAGATGACGTGATGATGATGGTCACTTACACAGAACTAGAAAGTGCCGCTACTTTCACTCACTCTGTTGCACATCCGTGTGGCAGAGAGGTGCATGCATGTCAGTGTAATGGTATATGACTAACACTGTTGAATGGTGTTTGTTGGGTCCAGTCCGTCAGGTTCCCAGAACAAGATTGGGCGTGTGAATATTACTCCTTCTGACCAAGGCTGCCGATATATAGAATTATCAGCAAACCACTTTCTGTCTCTAAGTGATGAGTGACTGTGGTATTTTAGCCAAATCTAAAACTGCAGTCAGGGTTTGCTGAATTATGTGTAGCTGACAGCCTGTTTACTGACTGATGAAGCTTCTGAACCTCAAGAAAAATCAGGACATGCCACATGGTTCATTTTACACAATAGAAAGCAAATGTGAAAAGTCTTTTAGGCCTCATTTTGGTTGGAATAAAATAGTTTTATGTAACATGTCGGTATATTGATTTTGATCTTGAGCTTCAGAAGAATCCTCCTTTACCACACTGATGACTAATTTATAAACATGTTCGGTTTTATTGACTTGGACTATGGATTTCTATTGGAAAGCTTACTGGTGACGCTGCCTCTAAAGGAGAATGTACTAATCTTGTTGAAGGGAAATTGTCAAATATTATTTTCACAAAATGACAGTATTTGTTCTTTCTCCCTCCCTGCTTCCCTCTACTTGTATTTGTCTCTTTGTGCAGCAGAGCCATGCTGTAAAGCCCTGTATGACTTTGATCCAGAGAACGAAGGAGAGCTGGGCTTCCACGAGGGCGAGATCATCACCCTGGTCAGTCAAATCGATGAGAACTGGTTTGAGGGAAGCCTTCGCGGCAAATCAGGATACTTCCCCAACAACTATGTTGAAGTGGTGGTGCCTCTGTCACACTGAAAACAGCAAGGCAAGATGGTGGGGCAGCAGGATGGAGAGGATGGAACGGGGGTATGATGGAGGATTATCAACTCTCAGTAATCAAAAGAAGTCTTTTCTTTATTGTAATTAAAGGGTAAACATCTAGAGACAGGGACGTACCGTTTGTATCTAGGATTTGTTTTAGTAAAAAGCCTTTTTTATTCTCATTCTGTCAGATTATGTCAAGATTTCATGGATCTTTTAAAACGGGAAGGACAGAGGGATGTTCAATCAAAAAAAAATTTTGGGGTGCATTTACCATATCCTCACATTCATTCTCTATGCACCTGTGCACTTTGTACCTCCATCACCGGGACTGATAAAGAAAGACTTAAGAGAGAATGAGATCTGTAGTGACATGTCCAGCAGTGTCCGCTAACTCTAAGAAGTGCAACTACTTTATCCTACACTTATTTTATATTCACAAGATGACATTTCTTGTTCATACTGGTACTAAACACACGTTTGTATATCCATGCTTTCTTCTAAGCGCTGTTTTTTACACTCCCACCTCTGCCTTCAGGCTTCAGTACTGTTGTCACCATGGACCAGTTAGTCAACATGGAGGACTGTCTGCCTTTTGTCAATGTTTGAGGCTATCCTCCACTGCCACCTGGTGGTATTAGACATCACCCTTAGCTATTAGTTTGAGTGTCACATGGCCTCTATTATCTCATACCAAATCCATGTTAGTTGCTTGTCTTGTGTTTAAGTGTGGAGAAACTGTGAGGGAGTTTTACAAACGTTAGCTAAGTGTATTAAATACCAAAAAATGGTTTTATAGTTGATTTCTAAAGAGCTGGATGGTGTCCATAAATATGCGTAGTCTTACAACCTTATCACAGTAATTGTTACTAAGTTGTCAGTGATTTAGTCTACCTACAGCTCTTCCAGTGTTTCCCACTACACTCCACTCTTCTCTTAGAGCTGATGCCAAAGAAACGTAGCAAAAATTCGAAAATGGGACGAGGCTGCTATTCGTCATTAAAAGGGAACATATTTCATACAGCCTTGAAATTTAAGATACATATTTCAGATGATTATATTGAAACGTTTCCTTTTTATTTACTTCACATTTTAAAGAAGAAGAAAAACCCACAACAATGTAACATGATTCACTCCCACCCTAAATGTTTTGCAGCATCACACTAAAGCCATAAGCACACATCCTTCAGTTCCTCTATTTTCTCAGGCTCTATTGATACTGCTGGCAGTGTCGCTCACAATGTTTTGTGGGCTTTTACCCGTTTGTCAGTGAACTTTGAGTCTGTGATTTGTTTTCCCCCGGCAGTGCGGGGGTAAGCTTGGCTTTAGTACTCTAACCTATAATTTAAAGCATGGAAATTAATCTGATGTGTATTGGGTGTGTTTGTACCTGCCTCAGTTTTGAGGCTGAAACTGTGCACCAGACCTGACAGACAGCGATCTCAATCTATTGTGTACAGAATTTACTAATAATGAGGAAGGCCCGCACACAATAGTCGGTTTCAGTTTCAATTAAGCCTATTACAAGCTGACTATGAACTGTGAGTGGTTTGTGCTGTTCACTAAAATGCCAACTTTCTCCTCTTGTCATGATCCCCTTGTTAGACCGCCCCCCGCCCCACTCATCCCTCCCATCTCTGTTTAAACTGGAAGCGGAACAGACAGGTCTTTTCAGCAGGGAAGGGCACACAGCAGTAGATTATGCCCTTCCTCCCCCACTGGTCTTTATTCACCACCTGGCCCCTGTACCCCTACCCCCTTTTCTCATTATCTGCCCCATCCCAGTCCCATGGTGCCTCTGGTGCTCAGTCTCCTGATCCATCCCTGGAATAATCTCCTCCATTGTTATCATAGTATGTGCCTCTTCAATGTTATGTTTGCATGTTATTCATGTTATGTATTAGGGCCAGGGGTTTCGGCTGTGCTGAGTAATAACTGGGAGGTTCAGGTGTGGGTTTACATGCCTCATTACACCAAATCAGATGCCCAGAGTTTGAGAGGGGAAAGGAGGGTCAGCGGTGAACGTTGAGCTATTATGCAGCTTGTACAATATCGGTGATGAATAATGTCGTGGAACAAAGGGCTGAGATCAATTTTTAGTGTGCTGCTGCTGTCACAGCTAAAACAGTTGTTTGAGCGCTGCGGCTGACATTGATTGCAACACTACATTCTGTGATGGCTCGTATTGCATCTATACCTTTTTAAGTGTCTCAACTTTGCAATATTGATGAATGAAGTATTATCAGACTTTAAAGCTTTATTTTATTATTCCCAATGTAAATGATTGTTAAAATGTAACCGCCTTGCATGTGTCTTCATTACAGCTTCTGTGTCTTACGCAATGCATTATTTCTTTAACTGTGACACTGTGGGGAGACTAAAAGTGGGATTATCCTGGATTATCTTCAGGATACATGGATTTACCTCTATACTAAATGTAATCTTCTGTGTATTGTATATTTTTGTTACTATGTAAAGGGGAAAAGATGCTGTTTGTTCGCTTCTTCAAATAAATATAAAGTAATTTGGCCCAGTGTGTCTTTATACCATTACACCCTTGTAACTGAGTTGTTTTAAATATATACAATTTAATAAGATATTCACACTGATGCAGAAAATGTCATATAGGTGAAGAAATATTTTTTTTTCACAGATAGGTGCCTGATTGTTCTTTAATTCCACCTATTGATATTTTAACTGCTCATTTTCGGTAAATAAACATCCACATTTAGGACATTTATCCCCCATCCATTCATTTTGAAATCTGCACAAGCACCCGTCTGCATGATCCCCAGACACAGCCGGCTACACCAGCCAGCTGTTGGATTATTGCCACAGCACTATCTCATCGGGGAAGGCGTGTCACTCCCCGAATTACTCAGCGCCCCTTTGTCCTCGGTCGGTGCCCAGCCAGCGACACTCATGGCGGCTGCACCCGTCAGGCAGCGCTCCGGGTCGGGGGGACCCCGGGCGCAGCTCCCGCCATGCTACTACGAAGGCTACCTGGAGAAGCGAGGACCGAAAGAAAAGGTAGGTTCGCCCGGTGCAGAAGTGCCATGTTGTTTCCTATGCATGCTGTGGATAGCGGTGGTCAGTGTGTGTGTGTGTGTGCCGCACACCGGCTGATCTCCCATTCCCAGGGAGCTGTCAACTTCCTTATTGTGTCAGAATGGGCGCGACTGTACGTTGGTGCGGATTGTTTCACATAACGGATCGCTGATTGTTATCCTGTTAAGTCTGGGTTTGCAGGAATCTGACAGGGGACGCATGCAACAATTTTATGAACGAATCACGACGTATAAATCGAGGAAACCCGATGGCTGTCAAAACATTGCATGGTTTTTAAATCACATCACATGAACGGCCTGTGCCTGTATCCCTTAGTAACAAGGCATTTGTGTCACATCCTGAATGTCTGCAAGCATTTAACCCTGAATTCAATGCTGACTCAGAGAAATAGTCTTATGTTGAAATATTTGTTCAGACAGCTGAATCCCTCAAGTGCATTTCCAATATCTCAAATGCAAACTTAAATACAGTGAAACTGACAACATTCCTCAATGTTTGTATTGATATATAAGGTCTGGGATACCATCCCTCCCAGGCCCACCCACTTTCATTAGGCTCATTTTAATGCAATATAGACGTGTAATGTGAGCCCGGCTCAGGTGCAGGGTATTGCATTGATCCATGGCCACAGACTGACAGCAGCTGTGGCTCACTCCCTATCCATCTCTAGGGACAGGAAACGTGGGAGTGATAAAAAAGGAAAGGAAATATCCATTACACTGATGTGGGAAAAAAGCACTGTTGTTGCCACAGCAGTGTATGCAATTATTTTACATGTCTGCTTATGTGTGTGTGTGTGACAGGCATCCAGGCGACTGTGGACGTGTCTGTGTGGGAATTCTTTGTATTTCTTCAATAATGCCAAGGACGCTCATGTAAGTTTCAGGCTGTATACATTTAGTTTTTTTGTGCGTCATAGAGTGTTGAAACATGTTTGTGTGCGTTACAGTTTGTGGAGAAGATGGACCTCGGTGGGTTTGTTTCCTTGAAGGACGACTGCAGCCGAGACAGAAACCTGGAGGCAGCCAGACTCATCCTGCGTATGAAGGATGGAGAGACCAAACTCACAGTAATGCCATTAAACCCACACACATACATTAAACAGAACACTTTTTGCAAGCTGTTAAAGTCCTCTTGTCTTTTCCAGGCACCTAACTTGGAATCGAGGGAGCTGTGGAAAGGTTTCCTCTACTCCGTTATAGATGTAAATATTCATCATCTGCACACCTGCATCTCTCTAAGAATCTGTCTCTCTTTTGCGCTGTTGTCTTATACATTTTCTCTCCCCTCCATCCAAATCACAGTTGAATGTCCCGTCCTGTCTTACGCTGCTGCCAGGCCAGCTGCAGATGCTGAAGGAGGTGGTGGACAAAGAAAGGTCCAGGAGGAGAACTCGCACTCCCACACGTGCTCCTCCTTCGCCCCTCTCCGTGCCTTTAGTGGGAGAGATCCCACCGTGAGTTCTCCTCTGTGTCGTGTTGAGATAATGCACTGTAGCACCTTTAGTGTGTATATTATCGTTAATAATGTGTGTATGTGTGTGTGGCATGCAGGTGTTTTCGCCCGGTTTCTCGAACTGAGGCTGAAGTCCTATTAGAGAGACACCCAGACTGTGGCAACATGTTACTCCGTCCAGGTAGAGACGGATGCTCACTGGCTGTCACTACTCGGCAGGACCTGAACGGGTAAACAACACCGGCTGAACATCTGCGCACCACAGCTGCAAATCTCATAGTCAGACACAACAGTCACTGCAAACGTTACAAGCTTTCCATTTCTCTCTCATTTACTCCAGGTCAGTGTTCAGACATTACCGGGTGACTCAGAGGGACCAAGGTGGTTATGTCATTGATGTAGAAAATCCTGTAAGTGTAGATACATTCTTTTTAAAACATGTAAAGTTTTTAAATGTTATATCATGATTGCGTTTTTCTACAGGAAAAACCTCAAGTTAGGGACAAATCCATCCAACTTTTTCTTCTCCCAAGACTTTAATTAAGACTATCTGCTGGATCATGAACCAATTCAATACCAGTGCTCTCTTTTAGCAGATTTATAACGTCGTTAAAGAAACCTGATCTGCTTGATAGTATTGGTACAGATTAAAAAACGGCATATTGGATCAACGTGTCCCTGTCATGGGGTTAAATATTTGAAAAGATAAATAATACATATTTGTTGGGAATTTGTTGGGAAGTGGGAATTCAAATATTTGATACCGTATATCTCCAAATAGTCCGTCTTGTTTGCTCTCAGATCAAAACAGTCTCTGAAGTCACAACTCAAATGTAAATATAGCTGCATCTTCACATATATTCATGTATTTTTTTAAGGCTTTTGGAAGAGTTTTCAGGATGTTTCGGGACATGGCAACAACTCAGCACACAGGATTTTGTAAACATTAATTAAAGTAATACTTTGAGATGGCGGCTTTAGTCATATAATGCAGCAGGTTTTCTCTTCCAGATTCCATGTGCTGACCTTCACGAGGTCATCGACGCTCTGGTAGAGAAGACAGCAGGAACTCTACAGCCTTTTCTACTGGAGGAGCCTTACGAAGAGAATATCAGTGAGCCGACCGTGCAGCAAACACACATTAAGAAAATTCTTCTTTTGTGCGTTTTCTTGCCAAGAGACTAAACTCCGTTTGTGTCATCAGCATACGTTTCCGCCAATGATGAGAATGGAGAAAGGATCCTCCACACAGCCCCCTCCAGCCCCCTACCAAAGGCTCCTGCCCTGCCTCCAAAACAAGGTTTGTCTCAGTCACATAAACCCAATGCAGACAGTCGCAGGCAGACAGTGATAATGATCCCAGCTTTCATTCTGGTACAGATCGTTGGCCCAGCAGCCCCCTCTCCAGGTCTCCCGCACCCGACCGCCGTATCCTGACCTCACCAGTGCCGGCCTCGCCCACCAACCCGATGAGACGACTCATCCTCTCCCCTTCACCTCTCGCACAGAGTGAGTAGACAACGCAGATCTCTCCGCTCAGTTTCAGCTGGATGGGTCTATCCCAATACCCACACTTGTGGTATTAGTCAAGTGCCTATTTGTGCGACATATTTCCAGTAATTGCCACAGTGCCCAAGTGCCTGTTAAGCATGTGGAAGTTTATCAGAGCACACTGGGACATGAATAATAATAATATTCACAATGAATCCACCACCGATTAATGTTGGTGCTAAAACACAAGCCTACACACTAAGAAACCAAGGTACAGGAATGGGTACATATGGTTTGTTGCTCCAGCTGTACCCTAGCAGGTTACAAGCACTGTACCTTTGAACGTGGTACAGACTCTTTTGCAGGAACGCCCTGATCACATTTACACGGTTACACAGTAGTGGTAATCGGAAGTGCTGCTTCTTCACTTTCCCCACCCAGATTTATCCTCTCAGTTCTAGGGACTGAACCGACAACCCTCCAATCGCAGGCTTGCTTCTTTAACCTTTAGGCTGCACATTTATAATTATTCATCAAAATTTATTTAAAGAAATAACAATTAGTTTACATCTTTTAACACTTTTTAGTACCTTTTCATTGTATTGTTCAGCTAGAACAGATTTGCCAATAACGGTATAAATCACGTTTTAATATCTGTAAGCTTCAGCAGTGCCGACTACAAGTGCACTTGCCACGGGCACATGCTACAGTTTACTGCAGAGAGAAAACGGGTTTCACTACCCAACTCCTCAGGGGCTCCATAAGGGAGGGCCACAGCATAAAATAAAGTTAAATTAATACAGAAGAACAAGTCCCCATGGAGGAATGCAATGAGGAAACAGATTGAAAATAAAACAGTGATAATACTTAAATTCAATTAAATTGGGGGTAATGGTAGTGGAAGCATTTCACTCTGCTACACTGACAATTAGCTACTTGATTAAAAAAAACAAAATCACTCAAATAAAAAAATCCATTGTGAACTTGCAAATACACACTAAAGAAGGGCGTCTTGCCCAAAACGTCTGTTTGGCAAAATTAAAAAAGTTGAACAGAATGCCGTCCTAGTTCTTTGCCCATGAAATTATTTCCAGGCCACACAGACCAAGAATTGAATGGAAATATACTAGAAGCCTATTTAAATCAAGATTTTGTGATCACTGATTTGCTGTAACATGTTTCCTGTACCTTAAACTGGTTAAAAGTTATTACCCCTTTCTGTCAGCCATGATTTTGTACCTTTAAATTGAAACAAAGGTCCACAGTTATGACCTTAAGTACCTTTTTCATACCTTACATGCCACTTTTCTGATACATATACTTTTGGGTACAGAAATGATACTGAATGTGTGATATACTTGGCTTTACAGTGCGCATCAAGTGTGGGTTAAGTGGACTGTGTGTTGGTATTTTTCCAAAATAGGATGTACCACTACCTGATGGCATGTGAACACGCACTTAAGTTTTTGGGATATACTCAGTGTGTTTCTTCTGTCTCTTCACAGCACTCAATGAGGAGCTCAAAATGAAGCTGGAGAAGAGACGAGCTAGTCAAGAGTGACTTACTCATAAAGAACAACCTCCTATCACAACATCTTCAGTGCCAAACCCCTTCTCACCGCAGCTATGTATTCATCCTGTGCCTTCTAGGTGGAAGACAAGGGACTACAAATACCGCCACTTTCTCGTAAGGAGATTCAAAATTCTCTGAGTTTCATTCTTTTGGTCTTTGCTACATGGTTGTTGGACTCTGATTAAATGAACTCTGATTAGCTCCTTAAGAGCAAGACTGACTGGTTAACACTGGATTAGGTTCATAAAACCTGCCTTGGTTGGGGTAACAATGCACTAGTGCTTTGTCCACTTGCATAAAGCTGTTTACAAACTGCCTCTGAGCAGAAAATAGTGCTATAAATAATGACTTTCCTAAAGAGTAAAGTCTACAAAAACACTGAATCAATGTGACTGGCAGCTAAGATCTATCGGAGATGCACTGACACGTGCTAGACCACCAACTGAGCCTGATATTTTCTGAGCCTCTGTCTGAGCTGCTGATATTGCTGCTGCTGCAACACTGGAGACCAAGAACAAACAAACAAACTGTCCTGAGACCTGAGTCGCTTCATCTGCTCTGAGAGTGAAATAACCTCAGGTTTCAGCTCAGCAATTCTCCTCATTCAACTCATTACACGTACGATGACTGAAACAACAGAAGAACGTTGTGAGCTGGCCAGACAATGAAAAATGCACAATCTCTGCCTGCTGCTTTTGAGTGCTATTTGGGATTGATGAGCAACCATTAATGTATTGTTGATTCAATGACACTGTTTATGCCTCAACTTTAACTGTACTGTCGGTGCTTATTTTAAAATGTCTCCTTGTTCTCTGCTACTGTGTACGTGCTACTGTATGGTGCTATGACTCACCAGTGCTCAGACCTGCCTGGAAACTCCAGGTGATTTCTGTTCCTCTTCAAGAAAATCAATCTACTGTATTCATATGTGAGGCTGCCCTCTAGTGGAATGGCTGTCAACTAAAGGGAACAGACACATTAGCAGCACACTGTCTTTAGGTGTTAACACAAGTACTTTGGGTGTGAGCAAACACTTGGCATGGACCAACCCTTTTGTGTTGCAGACTGAACTTGGCTTTTGAATTTATCCCAGTATTACACCACACCCTACCTCGCTACCTTTAATAACGAAGTCATAATTTATTACAGATCTGAATAACAACAAGTATTTTATGACTGTCATTTAGCCGGTCCTTGCAGGTTTGAAGTGTCTGAGTTCTAGTGACAAACTGTGATCAAGTGTCTTCTTATGATGAACAGTTTCTTGTATGTTTGTACATGATGTGTTGTCAAAAGAAAGAATAGTGTTTCTTAGATATTAAGGCCATCAAATTGTTTTGCATGGATGTGATTTGTCCTCGTTGTGAATTGATAGCTTGTGCTTTCTCAAACGTGCGCCATTTATTTGTTTATTTTTTGTCCGGCTGGTTGGACCCAGTCATTGATTGATGATGGATGAAATTTAATGAGATTATATAATGTTGGAATTAATCAGTACTATGAGTGGATGATTAGAGAGGATGCTTCACAATCTGTCCTGTTTTTAATAATAACCAACTCTTAATGTTTAGCACAGAAAGACAGAAGAAAAGTTAAAATTCTTTACAATTTTTATATACAGTTTAACATAGACATTGGTGTATTTTTCTTCATGGTCTCAGTAAATACATTTATGTTGGAAATCAACTGTTTCTCCGTGTTTTACCAAAAAGGATTAGATGAGACAAGGAAAAGTGTGGTGTTTGGTGGCCTTTCCTCTACTACTACTAGTGGAAACTTAAAATATCAGTACCAATACAAATTTCTCTTTGTTGATCTGCAAAATTACCATCATATTTTTCACATCGGGATGGGCTAATCCACATTTTTCTTTTTCATGTGTGTATCCACTCTTTTTCTTTTCTCTTGATTTGTGATAAATGAAAAACAAACAAACAATGACAATAATGTAGGGACTACAGAGCCCAGATGTGTCTGATGTGGTCTGTCAAAGGTGTAGAGGAGGGACACAACAGGTGAAAACATGTATAATCGCATTTAATCACTACTTATTTGTAATAAATACTTTTATGGAGCTCATGATTTATTTTTATTTAATTTTTTTTTTGCTGATATTGTGCCATTTTATTTTAGTTATAGGCTAATTACTTACATTACACCACTTCCATTCCTAAGACCATGGTGGCCGGTGGCAGAAATACAATACTCATTTAATTGCAATTCGCAAACAATCACATAACTTCTATCAACATTTGCTTAGAATAGCCCCAAGATAAAGATCATTGATCTCAAAAACATTACATTACCGTGGTACATTAGTAAAACATTGAATATACATATCTAAAGGTGGCATTAGAAATTCCAAAGTTTCAGGCTAAAATGTTTCTATAACCGTTTTTTTAACTTTTAATTTTTTAATTAATGTGTTATATCTGACAGCATTTGACACCAAACTGGGTTGGCCAGGCTTTTCTTTTTTTGCTTTTTGGCAGCTGCCCCCCCCACCCCTTTATGTAGATCCGGCCCTGTGTAAGACCCCATGCAGGACAGACAACTCCCACAACACACCACTAGGTAACGTCAGCTCATCCCTTCTGTTTGAACATGTTTAAAATAAAAAATAAAAACCTTGCCATAAACACCCTTCAGCTGCGTGTATATCTTACCTTGCCCATCTTGAATCAGATAAATGTTCATGAGAGCAATGAAACCAAAATCCGACCACAGATCAGCGTCAGAGACAGTTTGAAGGTGGTAAAAAAAAAAAAAGACCTGCGGGTCCAACCGGAGCAGCAGCAGCCATTCAGACCCCGTTCACCGCGGGATGTGTGCGCTCAGAGCCTCTCTTACAACAACGGCTGACCGCTGTGCCTCTGAGAGCACCGACACAGAGACAGACAGGCTGCTGAGCCTGGTTCTGGGTTTCTTAAGAGGCGAACCTGCAGCTTTTTAAGGAAAGTTTCAGCGCGAATCAAAGTTTCTCATCTCGTTGACGCACGTTGGCTGCGTCTCTGTGTGTGTGTGTTTGTGAGGTTGGTTCCACTTTTATAAATACTATTAGTTGTTTTTCTTACTACCTGTTAGTGAATGAAGAGGCGGTGGTTCAGAAATAACGTTTAAACAGGTGTTTGGAGTATTTTTAATGGAAGTCTTCGCGGTCTTGGGCGTGTCAGCGAGCAGGTAAGTGATTAACTTTTGATAGTGTTGAACCTTTGTTGTTCAACCTGCTTCAGTTTGTGCACTTTTGCTAACTGCGTTTGTCGTGAAAACTCAATTTCATGTGTTAAAATAATGACTTTTAATAACAAATTCACTTCTAAATGAACTAAAACAACTAATATATCTTTATTCTCAAATTGCTCTTAAACTGCATTATTATTTTAACTCACTTCAGACTAACTTTAATGCTTTAAGCTAACTTCTACACACTTCGCCGACGGCCTTGTTCTTCATGGCTGCATCAATATGAAAACCAAGGTGCAATATGTGTGTGTGTGTGTGTGTGTGTGTGTGTGTGTGTGTGTAAGATGGGTGTTGAGTGAAGCCAGTTTTGGCCCCAGGGACAAATATGTGAACCATGTTAACGGGGCTGCATTCTCTGACATGCCGCAGCTAGACAGCGAAACACAGCACACACATCTTGAGAAAGAAGCACGC